CCCCTTCCCCTCATCATTCATTTCTCTCCCATAGCGGCCCCTCCCCCCTCCTGGCAGCAGGTTTTCCCTCCTGGCACCCAGGATCACCACCCCCAGGTCTCGGCTCCTGGCCTTCTGGCTGACTGGCGCTGATGCCACAGCCTGCATCCTCCCCTCTCCCGTTTACACCTGGCATAGCCCCCCCACACCCCTAGAGTCTTAATCCCTTCTCCTTGCTATTTAGAGCTTTCCACGCTTGGCCCCTACCCGCCTCTGCAGGCTTTTTTCTGCTCAAGGACCTGAGGAAGGTTCCTCATATGTCCCACCCCCGGCACCATCTCCCAAGTTCTTCCTCAAGGCTTTCTGGGCCACCCCAGCAGGAAGCTTGTCCCTCCCCTCCTCTGTACAAATAGAAGTCCTAGCTGATAGCATTGATGACCCTGACTAATCCTGTTTTTCATTAGTCACTCATTCCCTGAGCATTTATTGAGGCTGGCTGTGTTAGGTCCCATGCCAGTGATGGGGATAAAGTAGATACGGGCCAACCCTCAATAGCTCATAATTGGGCCAAAGAGGTAGCTGGCTGATTGTCAAGGGCCTTCAATCCATGCCAAGGAGTTTGGCCTTTACCCACAGGGATTTTAAAGCAAGGGCTGAGAAGATAGCATTCAGTCCATCAACACAGAATGCTTACAAATGGTAGGTCCTGAACTAGGCGCTGGGATGAGAAAGTAGGAATGTGTTTTAGAATTTTTCCTTTGGCTACAGCGTGCAAGATGACCTGGGTGGGGGAAGGTACAGAGAAGAGAGGGGCCTGCTGCATGGTTCAGGTGAGAGATGGTGACACTGAGCAGAGGCCGTGGAGTGACATGGATGGACCGAGCCATGTTAGGAGGAGGCACTGGCAGGACTCGGGTGACTGAATGTGGGGATGAGAGCAACACAGAAGTTGAGGCAGAGGCTCAGATTTGGGGCTGAATGAGTGGAGGTGGTGTTGCTGAGAAGCGGGTTTGGGGAGGATGAAGAGTCATTCCCCCACTGGAACAGGAGCCCCTCATGTAGCCTGTGACAGAGAAGTTTCTGCAGAGGGAGGTACAGGCCCTCCCCAGGATGTATCAGGAGTGAGGCCTTGCCAGGCCCTGAAGGCCAGGTAGACATTCTTGGCTGACCTCCATGGGAGGAATATCCCTCCAGGAACTGTTTCCAGGACCTGGCCCTGGAGGTGAGTTTGACCTGCCCGGAGTCTCTTTGGGTGGGCACCAGACTCCGACCCCAGGGTAGCCTGTCATGAAGATACTCTGGAAGAGGAAGTTGTCAGGCTAGCAGAAGAAATTCCTCTTCCATAGCCCACTGCATGCCAGTGTGGCTTCTAATCCTTACTGCTAGGGGTGCCCTGAACAACCAGATCTGAGATTGGTCTGTTCCATGTCCCCTCCCTTGCTATGTGGCTTCAAGTTAGTTACAAGATATCTCTGGGCCGCACATGCCTCCAGTGTGCCATGAGGAAGATCAAGCAGGAGTGGGGGTAGCGACATCCTCCCCCGCCTACCACTCCCAGAGGATGAGGAATCCTCTATGCTCCCAGGAGAAGCCAAGGAGGGGGAGGCATGCCATCCTCCGGAACCCTGAACGTGGGGTCCAAAACAGCTGCACTGGGCACAAGGATGCCTCTGGAACACCTATGGGCAGAAGAAGGAGGCAACATCCCCTGCTGACCCCTCCCCAAGTCCAAAGCACACTGCAGGCTCAGGGTGTAGCCAAGCGAGCTAGAGAACCCAGAGGGAGAGGTGTCCAATAGGGGAGGTGGAGCCTTTCCCGCGTTCTTCTGGGGGATGTGCCTGAGCGTCTGTGTGAGGGGCTGGGTGTGGGCGGGAGCATGTCAGTGAATGAGACCGCAAATCTGTCAGAGCACACGTCTGCGTGTGTGCGTCATGATGTCTGTGTGGCTCTGGCTTTCCATCCCTTGACTCCTTCCTGCCTTGTGCTCCCTCCCCACAATTCTCTATCTCTTGGGGTCACACCTGTTCCCAGCCCCAATTTGGTCCCAGGCCCACTGAGGATTATGCCTCTTCCTTCATTTCTCTTCATTTCCTCTATTGTTCTTGGATTGCTAGTCAAAGCTGGCAGTCCCTTTAAGATATCGCCTTATTTGGGGGCGCCTGGGTGGTGTAGTCAGTTAAGCATCAGACTCTTGATCTCGGCTCAGGTCATGATCTCACAGTTTGTGAGTTCAAGCCCCACTTCGGGCTCTGTGCTGAGGGTGCAAAGCCTGCTTGGGATTCTGTCTCTCCTTCTCTCTGCCCCTCCTCTGCTTGTACTAGCTCTCTCTCTCTCTCTCTCTCTCTCTCTCTCTCTCTGTATCTCTCTCTCAAAATAAATAAATAAACCTGAAAAAAAAAAGATATCCCCTTATTTTAGTGAAAACTGGAACCCAGAGAAAGGAGACAACTGGCTCAGAGTTACACAGCAGGTCAGTGGAAGGGTCCAGATGAACACCCAGGCTGAATCCATGCCACCTGCCTGGACTACTCTCTCCAATTTATGACTACTCTTGTCCAGTACAGACCTGCCCCACTCCTGCCTGCCTTCTGGGAAAACTTCAGCTCTGATCTCCCTCTTGGCCTCAGTGGGTCCATCTTACTGTGCTCCAGCCCACTGTATCTGACATCCAGGAAATATCCACCCCTTGGGGTAGCCCAACAGCTCCTCTGACTCCCCTCATCTACAACCAGACACCCTCAACCTGTGGCCATCTTCTCTCTCCATCGGCCCTTCCTTCCTTTCCTCCTCCATCCCAGAGTGGAAGTGCAATCTTAATTACCTTTACTTTCCCCTCTTCCTTTTCCCTAGGTCCAACTTGCAACCAAGCCCTGCTGTTCTTTCTTTTGATGCTCTCCTGGAAACTTCACCATGTCCTCTCCCCCACCCCCCCCCCCGCCCCCCATCATCAAGGCCAGGGGCACAGCTAAAGGGGCTGAGATCCAGCTGAAGCACTGCATGCGAAGCCATGCCCATGGGCTCAGCTGCCTCAGAGGAAGTGTCTTTCTTCTGATTTCTCCGTTCTGAGGCAGCTTCATCTCTGGCTTTGCCCATAAGTATACGATACAGGCTAGAGGTGGATATGCCCATGGGCCCCCTTGTACTCTAGAATCTTCTAGAATCTGGCATCAAGGTGCCCACCTGTCTAGCCTTACTTCCCACTGCTCCCCTCATAACTACATGCTTTTCAGTTAGTTTTCACACAGCCGGGACCTATTTCCCTATTGCATAGTGGCTTTCCCCTCCCCTAATATCCTTTCTTCCCCTCTGGGCTGACGCAGCTATCCTCAGCACTCAGGCCTGGCTGAAGCCTACTTCCCAGCCTGGACAGTGGACAGTCAGCAGCATGCACCCAGCCTTTGAGGGCTGTGGAACTGAGCCCCACAAGTGTGTGGACTCCAGAACTCTCTGACCCTCACCTTGTGCTCTAGAATTCCAGAATGGAACCTGATTTGGAAGAGATCTTCGTATTAAGCCCTGGCCCAAGCCAAAAAATATTCTTAAGTTTTTTACTCAATGGCAAAGAGTTTATCCCCCTCCGCCATATAACCAAGTCCACTTTGGGGCAGATCGGAGAGTGAGAAAAGCACTTTTCCCATCATTCCAAGTTCTGCCCTCTGGTAGCTGCCTCACACCAGTCCCGCTCTGCCCTCTGTGGCTGTGCAGAACCGCCGGCAGAGACCCAAAGGCCATGTCTGGCACAGAGTAGTTCAATGAATGTCCCTTGGTGGATTACACAAGAGGGGCAGAAACCTCGTCTTCCTCCTTGGAATGGCGTCAGTCTCTTTTGTTTATCTGTGTTCTCCTGCCATGGCACCCACTTCAGAGACAGTGGAACCCAGACCCGGGGAAAGGAAGGGTTCACTGAAGGCCAACTACAGCCCACCAGTAGCAAGGCAAAGGCCCTGGGAGCATGTTCTGTTGGGACTGTGGCCCCGCTGAACATCTGCAGGCTCCCCTGCCTACCTCTTGAGGGTTGCCCTCCAGCTGTGAAGGAGCTGGCACTGCCCCGTACACAAAGCTGCTGCCCCTCTGTGCTCACAGGCTTCTTCCAGAGGGCAGAGCTCCAAGTTGTGGGCTTCAAATGGGGAAGTGGCAGTGAGGGTAGGAGGGATTGAGGGAGGCAATAATCCCACACCCTCACCCAGCTTCAAAGGAGCTGGTGCTGAGACGGTTGCCATGGTGACAACAGCTCCCTGGTCAGGAGATTTTTCTCCTTCCTCTCCTCCCTTTGCTCCTCTCCAAGCAGCTGCCATAGCGGCACGTCTTCTCCCTCTCCTCCTTAACGAGGGGCAGGGCATAACAAACAAAACGTGGGCCCTAGTGACCACCTCCACTTTGGAACTGTCCATGCCACGTGGGCTGGTGGTCTGGGAGGGGACTCCGGACAGCTGAGACCAGGCCTTGGCTTGGAGAGTGTGTGGGAGGGGGAGGCCTGGGTAAGAAGCAATGCCCCCTTGGTGAGGACTAACGCCCCCCCAGGCCTCCTCTCTGAAATGCCTAATGGCTCAGGGCAAGAGTGAAATGGTCCCATCTGCCCATAATTAGCCACAGAACCAGAACGTGTCAGGGTTGGAAGGCCGTTCAAGACCATCTCATCAAGTCCACCCTCTGTCCGGCCCCCTTCCCCATTTCAAGAAGGGTCAGAAAGGGAAGTAACTTGGTCAAAGGCAAACAGCAGGTGGGGCAAAGGGAAGATTTAACCCAGCTCTTCTGCCCTCCAGATTCAGGCCACCTTAGGGAAAGGAGTGACACAGTCCACATGGAGCTTTGGCAGATCCTTGTGGGGCAGCAGGAAGATAGGAGAGAGAGAGCGACTGAGTGCAAGAAGGCCAGAAAGGATTCAAATTAGAGATGTTTGAGAGGCAGGACTCAGCACCTGTGAAGGGTGAGGGGAAAGGAGAAGGCTGGGACCTTGACAGCAGTGACAGTCAGGTATGGGTAGCCTGCTGGGGGTGGTGCCCCTGGCTCATCCTCCAGCCAGGATGAAAGAGGCCAAACACGGGACCACTGCCTAGCCCTGGGACCATGGGAGGTGGCAGTGCTGTTGAGGAAGTGTGAGGAGAAGAACTGGGGGGGGGGGGGGGGGGGGGGGGGGGGGGAGGTGTTCTTCCCTCCCCCAGGTATGCTGTGAGCTCTATCACCTTGAGGGGTGGGAGATGGGGACAGTCTGAGGGGACAACGTGAGGTGGGAGTAGGCTCTCCATGGAGGTGGGGGCTGTCTTTGGGGACAGGGACCTTGTGATGTGAAGTGCAGAGCTAGCTGCTGGTGGGGCCGGGTGGCATGGGTAGGGGCTATCTGTGGAGGTGGGAGGTTGCCATGGTGCTGGGCAACTAACTACCCATAGGCAAAGGGGAAGGGTGATTACTGCCTCCTCGAGCACCAGCAACACCACACCCCCAGCGTGGGTGGGTGTGGGTGTGGGTGTGCGGTGTGTGTGTTGGGGGCCAGAGCAGTGGGTGTTCTTACCTGAGCTGGGAGTAAGAAGGCGGCTCTGCCTCCTTCCCTGAGACCTACGGGGCCTGAATTAGGGTGGGAGTCCCTGCCCGGGGGCAGCCCTCCAGATGCTGCCGCCTATGGAGGAACCAGGGGTCAAGGAGATGAATGAGGGGAACAGGAGAGGAGAATGGGAATGGAGAGTGGAGGGGGAGGGGACAAGGGCCTCTGCCCGGCCCCGCCCGCGTTACCTGAGGCCGCTCGCCGGGTCGCTGGATGGCTCTGAGCCTCGGCGGGCCGCGGGGACCGAGACTGGCTGGCGGGCTGGAGGCCAGGCTCTCCGAGGTCCGCACCGGAGCCGCCTCCCAGCTCTTGTATCACTATGTCTCTCGGAGGCAACACGATTTGCATAAGCCCCGCCTCATCCCGGGCAGATCGGGCGTTGATTGGCTCCGCTGGGGCGGAGTGGCAGGCGGGGTTTCAGGTGGGGACTGGATGGCCAGTGAGGCCCGGCTGCCGGAGCGCGCCCCGCCCGCCCGCGCTGACCTTCTCGTAGTCGCGAGGAAGGGGGAAGGGCTGTGCCCCCGACTGTACCCCGCCCTAGGGTTCAGACTCCGGGCCTCAGTCTGCGGCCAAAGGTGATGATTGAAGTGGATTCGCGCAAACAACCGCACGGTTGCTGTGGAAACGGGAGAGCCACAGCAGAGTCTCTAAGCCTTCCCTTCCAGGGCCCCAGCCGGGGGTGGGGATGGAAGAGGGGATGAGTCACAAGATGCGACCCCCTCCAAGTCCCACCCGAAATTGGAGGAGGGCGACGGGGAGCTGCAGAGAAGCTGACTGGTGGAGGGAAGAGCTAGGGTGGTCGCCCGCCCACGCCTTCGCTTCGCCCCCTCAACACACGCCCTGCGCTGCAGGCGGGGAACTGAGAGGAGGGTGGGCGGGCGCGGAGAACGCAGCGCCGATGGCGAAGCGCCCAACCTCTATCTGGACCCACGCTAGTCCTGGGCTCCCTACAGCCCCTAATTCCGATCCTCTCCAGACAGGCCTTCCTTATTTCTCACGGGCCCCCAAGAGGCCTCTCGGGATCTCCCCCAGAAAGTCCCCCTGCCTACCCCATGCACCTTCCAGTCTCCACCCTCCCATCTTCCCGTCCCGCAGACGGAGCCGGTCCCCAGCCGCCGCCAGTCTCCCAGTCTCCGGCCTCGGATGTTGACACAAACCCGAGGTGGTTTACACTGAGTGAGTCTGGAAGGTTTCAGGGCCCCGGGAACACCTCTTCCCCGCACTTCGGGGTCTCCCCAAAGCCCGGACGGGCTGCCCTGGCTGCCCTGGCTGCCCTGGCAGCTGAGAGCTCCCCACCCAAGGGGTGGGAAGGAACCTTTTTATTCCAAACTGGGAGGGGGCTGGCCGGGAGGGGAGCAGGTATCTCTCCCGCTGGGCCACGTGCGGAGGAGGGACTTCTAGGCATCTGTCAGAAGTGGGGCGGGGCGTCTGGGGATTGGCCGAATGGGAGCGGGGATGCTGAAGAGCAGCGGGGGAGGGGGGGAAGAGCTGAGGCTTCTGCCGAAAGAGCAAAAGTTGAGGTGCGCGGGATACAGGGGATGAGGACAGGCCAGCCAAGAATGGAGGCGAGGCTTCAACGACTGGTCCCCAAAATTCCCGGGCCAAGCTCCCGGCGGAAGGAACCCACGGACATCTCTTTGTGGGAACCCGACCCATTCCTGTGGAACCCCCGTTTTGCTGCCCCTTTCTTACGGCTGCGGACTGTCTTCTCTCTGGGGCCCTAACAGGATGACAGCACTACCTGGGCCTCCAGTTAGCTGGCACATCCCTGGCCCCTTGATTGATGATTCACAGGGACAGGTGTTTGAAAGTCCTGACACTATCACTTCCTGAGCACCTTCACCTGCCCTGGGGACACGGAGACAGGCAAGAACTCATCCCTGCTCACAGATAACCATAATCCAAAGCATGAGGAAGTGGGAAGCAGCAGCATGGGTTGCTGGAAGTGGTATCTGAAACTCTAAAATGGGGCCCTACCTTTGCCAGTTATGCTACGTATTACCAAAGTCAAGACCATTCTCTCTCTGGGCTTCCCAGTCTACGGGAAGTTGTGGGAGCTGGTGCCAGAGGCCCAGGGGAGCAAGGGAAGAATTTCAAGTAGAAGAGTGAAGACAGACTGTTTGCAGCCCTGGACAGAATTGTGTGGGCATGACTCTGTTTCACTACACTTGTGAGCTCCTTAACAACAACTAACATATACTGATGAGAGCTTACTTTGTGCTAGGCATTGGCACTATGTAAATATGATGTACATTTTATATCCTAACACTTTATATGTATTACCTAATTTGTTCCTCACAAGAACTCTATGAGGCAGGTACTATTATGACTCCACGTAACAGATGAGGAAATTGAGGCTCAGAGCCCTTAAGTGACTAGCCCAAGCTCACAAAGCTAGTAAAGCTGCAGGGCTGGGATTTGAACCCAAGCAGGCTGGCTCCAGAATACACTCTTAGACAGAAAAAATACTGCCTGTCTTTAAGATCTTTCAAGTCCTTAATGGCAGGGACCTTGGATTGGAATATTCTTTATCTGATCCTCCAAGGCATGAGAAAGGCAAACAAAGCCCAGCCTCCTGGGAGCAGCTTCTGGAACTCTGAAGTGGTCGAGACATAGGGTTCCAAACTCTCCTGGACTGCAAGAGGGCCAGAATGTGGCTGCACCTGACTCCCCCATCCCCCACCCTGGAATCAGCATGGGATCCAGGAATCCCAGGTAAGCGGAGAAAGGAAGGCAAAGGCAGTCGGTGAAACAGGATATACTGGTCCTTCTCTGGCTGTTTAAACCAGGCAGGACCACTCATGCAGCCTCGCCCATGAATCATCCCGGGCCCTGTGACTGTTCCTGACCTGCCGGTCATAACCCATCTTCCCCTGCTTATAACACTTGAGATCCTGATCTTGATCCTCTCTCTGCCTTTAGGTTTGGTGTTTAAAACAATAATGGTGGCTGTTACCGAGTTGCTTCCCTATGTATTAAATTCCCTGCCAAGTCCTTTATCTGCATCATCTCACATAATCCCACGGATGACCCCTGCCATTAAAGATATCTAACAATCCATTCAAACATGAGCATCACAAATCAAAGTGGATGCTGACCTTAGTGCTAGACCAAAGACTTAGTAGGTCTTCGTTCTGCCAAGAGTTAACACTTTAGTTATTGGATCAAGGGGAATAGTCAGGAGAGAAGCTTAGGGATGGGTGGGGGGGGGGGGGGGGGGGGGGGGGGGGGGGGGGGGGGTGGCGCCCAAGGCCTACGATTACCTATTTACCAATCAATTTGGAAGTATTTTGGTGTTTTAACAACCAGTTCAGCTGTACCAGGCATGGGGACTGAATTTCAGCCCTAGCATACTTTATTTCATGGCAGTAGATGGAGGCTCAGAGAGCTTAGACAATTTGCCCATTGTAACACAGCTCATTAGTGACAGAGAGGACTCCAATCTAAGTCTGACTCCAGAACCCACACTCTTAGTACTGACTGACCTGTGTTCCTAGGAAGAGAGAGCTGGGGTTTCCACTTTCTGCAGCTAAAGGCTGAGCCAGGGGAATGTGGTTTAACTTCTGGGACTTTGTTGTGGCCTTACTATCTCAGGCTTGGAGCCTTGGCAACACCTGTTCCATGTTGTTGAAAAGAGCAGGCCGTGCCCCTGCAGAGTGAGGAGGGCAGGCTGTATGGGACAGCGTGCATGTGTGGGAGACCCCAAGAGCGGACACAGAGGGAAACCTCAGTAGGGTTTTGATGAGGACAGAGGTCTGCAGGCAGCGGACACTTCAATTTGCTTCACCAGAGTGCTAGCATTCCTCACATCGGGTACCGACAACAACAAGGATGCCTTTATGATGGATAACACCTTCCTCACTCCCTGGGTTTCCTCAGACTTGGCTCCTGCAGTCTGGTGACAGCTAGAATTCCCCTGGGTCTTAGATATTTCAGTCTTTTTTGTGGCTGGGAGAGAGTGAGATCACCAGCTTTGGGCTCCTTCCTCTCCCTTATTGGCTAAGCGGGACATTTTTTTTTTTTTCTTTTCCAAAATAGAAATCTATTATCTTTTTTCTCTTCCTGTTAATACATGATGGCTAAACAAATGATACAGAGAGAGTGGAAATTCCTGCCCCCCCCCCATTCCTCCCTTGAGCATTTCCATGCAGGGGACCTTGCGTTTTTGTCTGCCCTTCATTCCCCTTCTTCTGGAGCAGCCCTATAGCACAGTGGGTTAGATGTGCAGACTCTGGAGCCAGGCTTTCCAGGTTTTCATCCCAGCTCTATCACTCACCAGCTGTGTGACCACAGTCAAATTACTTAGCCTCTCTGTGCGTCAGTTTCCTTATCTGTAAAAAAGGGATAATAATAACAGTACCTATGTCAAAGGGTTACTCAGTATTAAAATGAGTTAGTATATGCAAAGTGCTTAGAACAGATTTTGCTTTGGGGAATTACACAGCCCATATTGTGTACAGTCTTGGTGGAATTATCAATCCGGGTGCCCTGCCTTCCTGTGGACAGGGTTGGGCATGAGACCCCAGTAGGGTTAAATGGATACCCCCACCCCCCACCCCGCCCAAGCGAATCTGAATCTTGAGTAAAGTGACTCAAGGACACTAGATGGTTACCGTTGGTTTATGCCAGGGCAGTGCTCTGATGACTGTCCACTCATTCCTGCTATCTGAATCCTCGGGAGTGACTCTAGTACACGTCCACGTACAAGACCTACTTCGGCTTTTCCTTTGGTTCTGTGAACCACCTACATCCCTCCCCAAAATTCCTTTTCTTTTCTTTTCTTTTCTTTTCTTTTCTTTTCTTTTCTTTTCTTTTTTCTTTTCTTCTTTCTTTCTTTCTTTCTTTCTTTCTTTCTTTCTTTCTTTCATTATCTAGAGGAGATTTCTACTTGCCTGCAGAAAACATATGAGCTTGGCATATTTCTCTCTGTTACGACTCTTGCTTGCAAGTGACACAGAACCAAATTCACAATGGATTAAGCAAAAAGAAACTGTAGTAAGAGAAAACCCAGGAGGAGATTGGACTTTGGGGATGGCTTGATTCAGGGGTTTATACAGTGTGATTAATATCCGACCCCTTTCCAGGGCTTGGCTTTGCTCTCCCATGTTGACTTCATTCTTGAGATCCACATAAAGGCAAGATATCTGCCAACATCTCTGGGCCAACACACTCTCAGGTTGGAGTGCCACAGAAAACAAGAGAGCTTCTCTTCCCCCAGTGCAGGTAGCCAGCCTTCTGGGATGGTTTTCACTGGCCTGGTTTGGGATCCATGCTAAGCTCAGAACAGTCACTGAAAACAGGGGATACAGTGCACTGATTGGCCAAGGCTGAGTCACTTGCTTACCCCTAGATAAGGTCAACTCCTCCCAAAGAGTGTGTACCCAGAGTAGGGAAAGATGGGTGTTCTTACCAAGGACAGCAGAAATTGCCAAATTATAAAAACACATCCAAGCTCTACTATCAGGGTACTGACAGGAAACAGATGGCGGCACTCAAAGAGATGACTGAAGATAGGTCAGTGAGGGAACTATTTGCACAGATATGGGCAGGGTTGAGAGAAATCAACAAGGTATTATCCAACACTGGGGCTAGCACCCTTGGAGAGCCATTACCACCTCCAGACCCCAAGGGGCAAGGAGAGGGAGCAGAGCTGTTGTTGTAGAAGGGAGTCTTCAAGGGAAGCTATGGTCTTTGGTAAGGAAACACAGCACTGCCAGCACATAGCCTGATAGGGAGAGACTGAGGGTGAGTAGAATAAGCACCTTGACCTCCTTCGTTTTTTTTTTTTTTTTAATGTTTATTTTTGAGAGAGAGAGAGAGGAGAGACAGAGTGCCAGCAGGAGAGGGACGGAGAGAGGGAGACACAGAATCCGAAGCAGGCTCCAGGCTCTGAGCTGTCAGCACAGAGCCGGACGCAGGGCTTGATCTCACAAGCTGTGAGATCATGACCTGAGCCGAAGTTGGTCGCCCAACTAACTGAGCCACCCAGGTGCCCCAGCCTTAATCTCCTTCTATTCCCACATCCCAGAAGTCTCCTACTTATGTCTCCCGTTGGCCAAACCCAACTGGAAGCCAGAGGGCAAAAAAGCCCCACTGATGCAGTCCCCACAGCAGCCTCCTGGAGCGGCACACAGAGGGCAGAGAGTGGAGGCAAGCAGAAAACAAACCTAATAGGAATAGATGATGCCTATACCTATATCTCTCTGTATACACACATTATGTATTTGTATGTAAAGTATCTATATATCTATCCGAGTGCTTAGGCTTTCAAGTTAGACAGCTCTTGGACAAGTCACTTCACCCCTCTGCAGTTCAGTTTCCTAGTCTGTAAGTGGGAATAATAAAAAGAACTACTTGTTGTGTGAGGGTCCAGTGAAGATAGAGTCTTTACTGAAGTGCCTGTCATTCACATAAACATATGAACCATGGCTGTGAAAGTGCTGTATTTGTTGGAGCAAAGGCTAAGCTGCTGTAACAAATACACCCCAACATACAATAACTCAAAGAGAAGTTTATTTCTTGTTTACATAGAGTCTAGGGTCGCTGTCAGGGGGATGGGTGGCTCTCCTTTTTGCAGGGATTTGGGACTGGGGCTCCATCTACCATGTGGTTCCACCATTCCCTGGGATCTCCAGCCAGTGGAAAGGGAAAGAGAGAGTGGAGGAAGCAGACGGTGAGGGTGCCCAGAGAGTTCTAATTGGAGGAGGCCACTACCCCCACCTAGGCTGGAGGGGCAGAAGGGAAAATGAAGTCAGCCAGAGCCCATGCTCACTGCACCTGCTGCTGCCATCACCAGAGCCAACACTGCTGCTGCCCTGAAGGAAGCCAGAAACTCACCCTCTTGGCTGATGCTACAGTCTGGAAGTCTGAAGTCACTTGCTGTTGCTGTTGGACACTGAAAGCACAGCAACCAACGTGTGGTTACTCGTGCAGGGAATGGCGGTTATGACCCACAAGAAGAAGCCTACTCCAACTCACTATGGGCAGTCACATGAGAACCTAATTTTTCCTTTCTCCCTCCACCCGAAAGCCCACACCAGAGAAGCAATCACAAGGAAGGGGGGTGAGTGCCTAAGAGCTCCCTAACTGCCTCCAGCCGCTGGAGCCTTAAGTCTGCCCTTCACGGGGTGGGGCTGAGAAAGAGCTTTGAGTCAAATGTGAAACGGAAACTTTAATTGAAATTCAAGAACCAAAAGCGATTGAGATGATGGGCTCAGGATTGGGGTAGGGATGAGTGACAGGGTGAGAGGAATCAACTCCCTTGGTCCGGTGCTGATCTTCTTAGTGACCTCCTTCTCCTGTCTGCCATTGCCAATCCCTGGCACAGCTCCTTCCTTACCCTGGCTCTGGTTTGCTTAGCCACTGAGCCCAGGGAATGCCTGGTCCTTTGGCAACCTGCATACACACACCCCAGCAGTCCTGGCCAGCTCTTAAGACTTCCAAGGGCGTTTGGGAGTACAGGAGCAGATCAAGGCATTCACGGGCCAGCCTGGCCATTAGAGGAGGTAGACCCACCATAGAGGCCCCATAGCCTCAGTCTGTACTCGTGGAAGACATTTGGCTCAAGTTAGACCAGTGAGATGTTGTCTCCCGGGAATCTGGAATTTTGAATGGAGAGGCACAGAAACCTCAGTGTCTTTACAGCAGAAGCACATTGATGGAAGTGCTCTGGGAGAAAAGTCCTCTGGTTTCCTGCGGGGGGCGCTCTAGGTCTGCCCTTCTGTGAATCGCCTTGGTTGTTCAACCCTGTCTTAGAATCCATGCGCTACTCCATGACCCTTCTAATGTTCATCCCATGCTCTCCTCACTCACCCTCCCTCCCCCCCACCCACACACACCTTTTTAAGTTAGCCAGAGCTGGTTTCTA